TGCCATTAATTTGGCATGGTGATGATGCGGAATCACACAGGCGTCGCGGCTTCAATGTCAATAGCTTTGCAAGTCTCTTGACGAAAAGCACCTTACCATGGGAGACTCGCTTTATTTGTTACGTCCTTGACAACTCCAAGGGTTGCGATGAAACACTTGATGGCCTAGACACCTGGGTGGTTTGGAGCCTGACGGAAATGCAGCTAGGGAGGTACTTTGGCTCTGATCCCTTTGGAAAGCCGCTGGCCAGTCGGAGAGATCTGGCAGGAAAGGAAATCGCCAATGGCTGGCGCGGGATACTCGTGGCTCACCGTGGCGATGAAAAATACCTTCAAAAGGCCTACCATGTTTCTGTCAGTTGGCTCTCACAACAATGCTGCTGGAACTGCAAAGCATCTAGGTTGTCTGGATCAGAACTCCTATATACACACTTCGGACCCAACGCCCGTCATCGATCAACTTTGTTGGATTCTTCTGATTTCATTGCGTTGTGCAAAGCGAATGCTTGGGTAAGACTCCCTGGGTGGCATATAGAAGTGCTGATGTATGATTTCTTGCACGTGTTCGATCTAACAATGGTGCCAGATGCTGCTGCTTCAGCTTCCTGGACGAATAGGTAAACGCTAAATGCATGGCTGGTGCAAACATACGTGCGTGCGCACACATGGATATCTTGAGGCTCTGATAGAGCTATCAACTACCGATGAGGTGTGGCAAGGTGGCACACATGACAATTGTTGTGAGTCTGTGCGGCGTATGCATGGCGCCATGATTTGTAAGATGTTTGCATGCAGGTGCAACGGTTGATGATCGCCTGCAAAAGGCATATGCAGAGTTCACTACCCTTTGCAAGCAGCACGGGATTCGAAACTAAGCTTTAATGCGCATGGCATTTGTTGCATGTGCACGCATGGGAAAGCAGCCCAAAATCTCAGGCAACCGGGGTCAATTCTACAAGTTGTTGCTTGGTTGTGATGCAACATGCAGTGTAAATTGAACTGACGTGTTTTTTGGTGCTTCTCAGGTCGCATTTGCGCACTCGAAATGCATATCCAACATTGGCTCAGAAACACTTCAATGGCTCTGTTTGGATCTCAATTGTGTTTGCCCAGCAAGCAAGGCCATGTGTAATTTTCTAATACACGCAACCATTCAAGGAGAGTGTGGTCCTCTCACGATGGTTGATGGGGATTTGTTTGGCAGTGGCGGCCAAACATCCAAATTGCATGCATTCACAGCGCCACAGATCCAATTATGGCTTGTCATATTGCTCGCTGTGGGACGTTGACGTTGGTTTTGTTGGCGGGTTTGTTGTCAAAGGTTGCGGGCTGCAGTGTTTGTCAACACTGTAGCCATTCGTGAAGCTGTCAGCCTTCGCCATGGGATCTTTCTCCCACAAGAGTCTGTGCAAAAGCTCCAGAGTGCATGCTACCTTTTTCGGAGTGCACTGAACAGCTCCCAGGTGGTGCACATCTTTTGCAAAGTGTTTTTGTGCCCTGCTACATCTAGTGTGTGTGAGAGTGTGCGCACTGATCCAAGGTTTGGCTTCAGAATCTATCGATCGTGGAGAATTTCTCTGGAAATTACGCCCGAAAATGCACAAGCTACTGACCTTAATTTATGCGTGCTGGATGTTTGTATGCCATGGGTGGGCATGCACTCCTGCCAGTTGCTAAGGCTGGAGCATTTATGCTTAGACCAAGCACCCCGGCTTTCTCCGATGCACACCTCGTGCTATGGGGACGAGGACATGGCCTCTTGCCATCATTATTGATCTATGCATGTTGACCCATGTTGACCCCCTGTTGCATGAAGAATTGGGCAACCAATCAACTAAGGTAGGGAAGGTGAAACACCTGGCGATTTTGTCGTCTGGGCGACTTCCTGGCCGACAAGTCTTGAGTAGATGGGCTGCTTACGTTTGTGTGAGGTGGCTGCGCAGGTTGGACTAAGACTGGGCTAAGTTGTTTCAACCCTACTCCAAAGCTTAATAAACCTTTGCCCGTTGACAACCAGCGCATTCCCTCGCCTTGTCCTGCCAAGCTCTGCAGCCGTGATGAAGACGTTCACGTTGTGGCCAGAAGAAATGGGATGGCTGGGAAGATTGAGGGGTGATGGATGACGAACCAATAGTGACCATGCATGATCATCTTTCTTGTTGTACATGAATCGAATGGACATCGATCGACTTAAGTGACCCTTTGATATTCCCAAGTGACCTTGTTGATTTAGCAAAGTGACCCTTTGATATATATATTTGTTCAAGTGACCACCTTGACACTTGGGAATATCAAAGGGTCACTTTGACATTGCTGGTATATTATGTTATTCTATACATGCAGTGCTTGGGCATGAACAGTTGACATTCCTTGCACAAAACGTCCGTCATCTTCACAGGTCAACGGTCATGGATTCCGGTGCTTTGATCCACAGCCATCAGGAGAAAATCCAGTGGACACGTGACCAAGAACTCTCATGAAACCTTTTTCAAAGCAATGGTAACAATACGTCACTCTGTGTGTTTTTGTGCTTGCGGTTTTGAAAAGAGGGGCGTGCTGGAGCAGCCCGCTGGAAGGTGAAGTTGGAAGATTCTTCCTGAAACATCGGTTTCAACATGTTTCAACCGACTCAGGACGTATCGCGCAAGAGGACTCCAAGATGCTTCCCACACCACATCTTTCCTTCACACCGTTTTTTGCTCAACAGATGAAACGGATGATGAGATGTTTGCTTTAAAGGCTGAAGGTGCATGGAGACGCATGTGTCGCCCAGCATGGGTTTCAACTTATCACTTGTATGCTGACCATTCTCTGGTTTCGTATTTAGTGAAGCGTTCGACCATCCGAAAAGGAGGTACCTGCACCCTACGTATATTAACGACAAAGTGAGAAAGTCCTTTGAAGACTGTTCACAAAGTATACACTCGGAGTCAGTAACATGGAAGTCCCAGGCATGGCATATTTAGATACATTGATCCCAGGTCAACAACCCCAATGTTGGTAAATATGCCACCAGTCGTGTTTGGAAGTGAAACTCATGCCTTGGAGCCTTCCTCCTCTCCACCTTCTCGTTTCGCCGAGATGTTCCAGGTGGAGAGGACGCAGGCGCCTTTGGACATGCCGAGACGGAAGTGAGAAGCAGGTGGTGGCTTTCCATGTGTAGAGACCTTCCACCATAAGCTGTAATGGTGTCTTTTTGTTGCGAGTTTGGGGGTTGAAGACGTTCCCGTTTCCTGGGTTTGCTTGTAGATGTTGTGAGTCTTCCCCATTCCTGAAGCAAATGAACTCGACCTTTCACCAGGAATCCGAACGTGCAAATCGAAGTCATTTTGTTGTGAAGATCTTCCAAAAAAGATGGAGATAAGTATGGAGATTATGTGTCATTATGTGTTATCAATGTTCAAGGAAGACAACTGTGCGAAGACGATGTTCATATTATTTGTCAATGTGTCCCATCAAAGAGTATCTACCATGACCCTCCAACAGGTCTCCTTTGGAGGGTTGAGAAGGGTTGAGGAGGGTCTGATTCGGATTTGTGTCCGTTGGTTGTGTGGTTGGTTGTCGCAGCTGGATGTTTCTCGTTGCGGTTGATGTGTTCCCCGTGTTTGGGTTCCATGTCTTGACCTGGCTTTCTGTTGTGTGACTTTGGGCAAGGACCATTGCCAGGCAACATGCCGACCAGCGGTGCTTCTTGGTATAGGAAGGGTATACCAACCAGTTCCCAAGCTCTCAGGTGGGTTCATCATCCATGACATACAGCTGGCTAGGCCACCAGCTTGGCCTTCCTGGGCCGTTCTTCCACTTTGAGGCGAGGTCACACATGTCAGGCAGCCAGGCACTCCATGTATGGAAGAGTTATACACATGTGCGGTTTTCATTTATGACCCATTCAATATATTCCATACATGATCCTACCATGGATGATCTCTGAATGATTTGAGATGATGCAGGTTCGACTTCTCTTAGCCCTAGACCAATCGCAAACAGCAGATGTGTCAGATGTCATTTTTGCATTTTTTGTGGCCCCTTGAAGGTGTTGTTCATCTTCTTTCGGATGATTTTGTTGTGGTCCACATGTTTCAAAATCGGCTATGACTTTGTTAAACATGTTTTATCAATTCGCTCTTCCTGGACTCTTCCTGGACGGGTCGACGTTCCTCCGTCCCGGATGCCCAGCGAACCGTTCCCTCCCCACACGAAAGGGGTTCCGTGAAGGGTCGACACGGTCCCGGTCGTTCCGGTCCGGTCTTGGTCGATGGGACGTTCAGTTGGACATGTCAGTCATGGTTGACTCATGAGTCACGCGTGATATGTGGGGATCAATCCACACACCGATGGGTTGCGCGATGGTCGATGGGTTTGGGGGGGGTGTTGGTTCGAATTGGTCATGGTGTGCAATCTGTGTCGACGTGAGAGGTAAACCAGCTCTCAGGTTTTTTTCCAGGATTCTCCCAGGTGGGTGGATCCTGTAGATACCTGGTTTTTGCATGTGTTTATTGGAATGGGCACTAGTGGGCACGACTAGTGACCCATGATTTTCCCTGCCCAGAAAAATCGATGGAAGCACAAGGAAAATTGAATGCTATTCGCAGCAAGTTCGCTTACAAATCAGTGAAACTGTTGACTCCTGTTGACGCACAATGCCGAATCAAGGCCGACCAGTCAGTTCTTCGCACCGACCAGGGACATCTGGACAAAGCAGTCAGTTCTTCCTGCCGATCATCCGCACCGCGAATCGAGTTTCGAGACACTTCGTTGAAGCACCCGTCGCTTGGGGCTCGAGCCGGCTTCTATGGGGCGCTGGAGAGCCGGGGCGCTTTCGTGATCTGCAGACCTTTTGTTTCCTGACCTCTTCTGGAAGGGAGCCAGTGGAGAATGCAGGCGGATCGAGAGTCCTTTGATGTGACAGTGAAACTTCAGGTTCATCGAATCTTTTCGATAAAGCTCACCCAGGCCCCCCATCTCCAAGCATCGAATCATCCATCTCGAAGCCTTTCCTCCATGCTACCTGATGCTTGGCCAGCAGATGCTTGCGTCTTGCTGCTCCTCGTGGCCCGAGGCACGGGATGAACCGACGCGTTCGCGTTCACGCAACGCCGCGTTCGTCCACGGTGAGATCGGTGGAGGCTTGGAGGATGTTGCGCTTGGTGTGGTGGAAGAGACCCTGGAGGCCTTGCGCCGACCGGAAGATGTCGCCGCTGGGTTTCTTCAAAAGGATGGATGGATTGGCGGTGTTTGGATGAGTTTGGGGGAGATTGCAATGGATTGCAATGGATTAGTTATAGCACTGTGCTCACACAGGTGGATTTCGCTCAGTACATCAAACCAATCCTGTGGTGACCCACACGCGACCATCGTCCATCCGACGAGATGTCGTCAGGAAGTGTCATGAAGCTCCAAAATTGGCCCAGCCACAGTCACATGATGTCACATGTTGGTTGCCTTCTTGGGTGTCCTTGTTGTTGTGATGTTGAACAGTAGCAACGAAAACGGTCCAATTCCATTTCTGCTCATTTCACACTTGGCTGATAAAGTCTTCAACTTCACCATCAACCTTCGACCATCACCATGACATTCCCAGACACTCCGTGAAACCAGCCCTTCCGGTCCCGAACCAAACCGGGATTAGAAACCCCAGACCCCGGACCGGAGGATTCAGGTCCGACCTCCATATGCCAGACACGACACGTCTGGGACTGCCACCCCATTGACCCCCAGTCAACCACCCCTGGCTTGATCATGGGCAGTCCTGTTCCTGGCAGTCCCGTCGACGTGTCAGGGACCTGGGACGGAGGGCCCGAGTCCCGTGACTCGCGTGACTGGGTTCCCGGCTGAAGTCCAGTTCGACTATATGTTGACCGGCTGAAGTAAAGGAAATTCCCGAACTCGGGTCACCTAGTCAGACCATTCTTTTTATAGTCTTTGACTCCCAGGGGATTGTTGGCCAGATCACCTTCGCAACCAGACGTATCGGGCGTGTCTCCGAGCGACCCAGCAGACGTGAGATCTCGGGCAGTGCGCAAACCGGGGAGTACGTGATGGGGAGCAGGGATCTTCACTGGAAGAGGAGCTGACTTGGGGCTTTGATCTATAAAAAAGGGGCATCGCTACTAGTAACAAGGTGCCTTGCCTTGCCACTAGAAACAAGAAGCTACTACTATAGTAACAGCGGCCTTCTTTTTTCATTTCAGCTGTCCCTTTCTGAAAGCTGCCGGCGGCACAGGGATTTCAACGGATTTCCATGTCTCACTGAGGAACATTTGCATTCCGAAAACTGCTTGGAGAGCCCTGGCCGCAACAATGCAGCGTCCGCGCCAACTTGATACCCAGGTGTCTCAGGTACTTCAGGTACCAAAAAGAGGTATCTTCGGGGTGTCCATCGGGGGCCCAGGTTTAGATGTGTTTTTTTGGTGGATGTCAGATCCATTGAGAGTAGTTGAAGTGTTTTTGCCAGTCTCTTTGCTTGAGAGTCTGGGCAACCTGGCGGAAGTCTCGATTCTTGTAGCGAGAGTTCCCATACAAATCTCCAATTTGGGGCCGACTTTTGAGTTCCGTGTTGCAGGTCTTTTTGCAATGGTACATGTCATCGGGAATCGAAGCAGGTGGCTCTATGGACGTGGAGCCGTCTTCGATGGCAGGACGGCGTCCTCGTGCCATCGCCAGGACTCCATCGAGATGTCCACGGAAAGCCGAGCCGGACACTGAGAATGTCCATCGGAATGGGAGTGGAACGCCACGGAATGCGCGCCCCCCGTTTTGTCGCGGAATTGGCCACGCAACCACTTGGACCAACCAGCCGGCTAAGCCGGTGAGAAACTACGTTTGTATACCTGCGAAGATGGGACATGACCCTATATACAGAAACAGGTGTCCTCAATTGATCCATCCCTAAGGATCATTGGACCCTCCGAACTGGAGGGTTTTGACCCTGCATAGCAGGGGTTTGGACCCTCAAAACCTTCACCTTTGAGGGTCCTTGATCCTTAGGGATGTTTCATCCTTTTTCAGGGTACCAACTGAGACTCCAGGCACACCATTTGCTTGCCGCATCATTGCAGATGGACTCAGATTTATGCCCTTTGTCGGTGTCCTTTTCGGTCGCTTGGTCTTGCGACATGTTCAGTCAAGACACGGAGTGACATGAATGGCTGATGAGTGACTATACATTCCCTGAAACCATCATGGAAGTGGACAATTGCTAATTACAAACAGTGGTGAACTCCACTTCCATGTTGGTGACCTGGACTTCATTTTCTTGTGAAAAGTCTTCAGAGGACTTAGTCGTTGCTATACCCAAAATAAGGTCCATGTACCTCCTTTTCCGATGGTATTGGAGGTGAGCACGTAGCTATAACAAAGAATACTCCATTGGAACTATAACTAAAGGGATTTCTGATTGTGTCCTGGACCCTTCCTGGATCCTCGTTGACATGGCATATCTACTTTGAAATCTTCTCCCTGGGAGCTGGGAGCCGTGAGGTTTCTCCGTTGAGAGAGTTTCTCAGTGAAAACATCTAGGTTTTCCCTATATGTCAATCTGAAAAGCAGGTCGACACCGCCGTGCCATCGGATATATGGAAGAACATTTAAAAACACACACATGAACAAAACACCTTTAAATATTGACGTATATAATGATCAGTCTAACAAGTAGTCTCCATCAAAGACCGAAGTCTCCGCTCTTTCTTCTTCGGACCGGACATGACCGGACCTCTGGTGGCGAATCCCACCGCGTCCGCGTCCGCGGCGTCGCTGTCTGTTCGCGCCTCCAGGTGCGATGTGGTGTTGCCTCCACTGGAGCGGAGCCGCTGGAGTGTGTTGAGTGTCCAGGCGGGTGGCGGCACCAGTGTGGCCGGGTGGGGTGGAGCCGTGCGGTGAAGGTCTGGGCCCCACCCACCCGGCAGGGGTTCGTGCTGGACGTCCTGCGTCGGGCGACGGTCGGCATCCGGCATTCAACGACCGAGCACTCTTGTTGTTTGGGGGGGCCGAAGTGTTACAAGGAACCTCCCACCGCTCAAGCGTCGAAGTTGGATCTCTATGAAAATCTTTGAAGGCTCTTGATTTGTTGGTGGGAGTCTATACCTATACAGGGCATGTTGTGGCTTCTTTTGATGCCATTAAAGGATATCCGATATCCGAATTCCAGGCTGCTCAGCTTCCTTGATGAGCCAGTTGGCCATCATGTGCTTGTTGCTCTTGCTTGCAGGAGCTGCATCCTTGCGCTCTTTCTCGGCAATTCCGTTCACAAAAAGCGCTGACCTGGCTTCGATCGGAGATGGAACGGCGCCCCCCCCGTTCGGCTCAATCGAGTTCGCCTCCGAGACGGGCGAGCGCGAAGCGCGAGCGCGAGCGCTTCGCGCCATGGATACAGATGTGATCCCCTGCTCCATCGGAAGACACTCGGAGGCTAGTCATGATCCAGATCGAGAAGCAAGGCAAAGCAAGGTGGGCACCGCACGTTTGACTGACCCCAAGATACTACGAAGGTGAAGACATACGGACATTTTGACCCATCTTTAAAAGAAAGATGATGTTGGTTTTACGGCTCTCCGTCATGGCCATGTAGATTCCCTAGCATGCACTGATCAGTCTCAACATCAAGAAAGGACATCACTCATCAGCCACGAAAGGAAAAGCAGCTGTGGTGCAGGGTCAAAGATGTGTGTACCTTGAAATCAAGCCTGTCAAGTCGCTGCCGTATGGGAATTCCTTGGCTCCGTAGTCGACTGTGAAGACGTACTTTTGGGATCTTTTGGGTGCTCCAAAGACCTCCTGAGAAGGTGTTTGGGGTGGGTGCCAGGAGGGTCTAAGTACCTTGTATTTGGAGCCCCATTGGAACCCGAAAAAGGGGTACTTTTCAAGATGCTTGGCAGGTAGATCTTCCTCTTCTTGGCCACTCCAAGATATCAGAAGAAAGCTCTAAGAATGTCAACAGTCGGAAGTGCACCCAGTTTCACCACCAAAACCGGGTCTCAGAGTCATTGCACCAACTGTGTGGGGCGAGGAACAGTCACAGAACCATACGTAATCCACACCCAAGATGCAAGGAAACCAAAGATACAAAACACATCAAAACACCCATGGATGTTTCGTCCAAATCTTCGTCCAACCTACTATCTGAAGACACCCATTTTCGTCCAACCAACACATCTCGTCAACTAACTCATCTCGTGGCAGGTGGCCAACCTTGTGGCGCGCATGGCCATCATCACTCCGCACGTCCTCCGCGCCACCTACGCTCACCGCGCCTTCGACTCCTGCGCCAAGGCGCTCCGGCCGCCAGACCCCACGCAGCCAGGAGCGGACGGGTGGGCGGTGTCAAGCGAGATGGTGAGCTGCCTGGCGGAGCTGAGTGACGGTTGGACCACCAAAGACTCAAAGGATCGTCTGTTCCGATAACAGAGGTCAAATAAACCTCTATAGGTGTGGGCTCTAGCTGGCAGTTCGAAATCGGTCTGTATATGCATCATCTTGAGGTGCTATACAGGAGCGATTTCTACGACGCTGAAGCCGCATATAGAGAGAGAGAGAGAGAAATCATATATTAATTAGATCCCTGAAACCCGTAGAATCATGAGTACGCATTCCAGATATAAACGTGAGAGGAAACTGGCCAACATTCAGCATGTCAAACCAAACGCCTGCTGTATCTTTTTCAGTGGTCCCTCGCAGGAAACCCTTACCGCGAAAGCTTTGTGACTGAGAAGATACGTTGCTTTTGGTCCCATTCATGGCATGGCGGGCACTGGATGAAGATCTTGACACTCTTAGCGCACTACAATGGCTTGCCTGCAATTCTCTTCGGCTTCTTGGGCGAACACCTCGTCTCTCAACAACGGCTGAAGCCCTGATCTTGGATGTGTTCGCTTGAACACATTCGTCACCCCAACCAAACAATTTGGCGCAGGTCCAAAGTGTGTAGCCTTACGTGAAATTCACGTCAACAAAACACAGGACCCTCAGTTCGCTAGGGTTTTGACCCTCACAACCAGGGTGAACTGGACCGACCAACATGTAGCAGTTGGTCCGGTCCAGGGTCGCCTCTGGGCAGTGTCACTTTAAGTGCAAGTTTTGCCACCCAAAGTCTCCGCATCGAAAGGCTCCTTCTCGGCCGTGATCATGGAGATCCTTTACTGTTTGGGGCTCTTGCCTGGCTTCCACCGCACGGACGTGGAGTTTCTGGGTTCGGATTGAGGATATTTTCCAGTGGAGTTGCGGAGTTGATGCTTCGCTACTCCTACAAGCTCGCTATTGGGATCCGAATCCGGTGTCCGAATTGGCATGGCACGAGAATATGTTCTAGCTGTTTTTGTGTGTTTGATGTTCGAACTTGGCGGGAGAATCCTCTGGCATGGAGAAAGAGTTGTTGTGTTCCTTCGGTTTTCTGCGGTACCCCACACGAAACCGGCCCCTTCGTGTGGTATTCGCATGTCCGCATTGAGCTCGCTGGTCGCTGCATACCGGACCGGGCGATGCGGCCAGGTTTGGCTGGTCGACCTGGTCACTGGGCAGCGGTTTTCTGATCAGCGTCAGTGTCCTGCTCCTGTGGCGCTCCCGACAGTTGATTTTCCTGGATCGGATTTGTATTGATGATGAGAAGAAAGAGCAGAAGAACGCCTTGGCTTTGCGAAAAAAAGGTGATTCCCCACCTGCTAGGTGAGGGTTAGATTTTAGGAGAGCTGTCCTCTTCTTCGTTTGCCTCTTCTCCTCCTCCTCGTCCTCCTCCTCCTCTCCTCGCCCCCTCCTCCAGAATACGTGACAATATACCACATGGAATGCCAGAATATATGCCAGCTAGAATGCCATACTTCGCCAGTATTTGCGGTGATGTTCATGCAATATGGCCGAGTATAATGCCATGGTGGGGATCACTTGAAGTGAAGTATTGTTGTTGTATTCATCTCCTGTTTTTTTTGTGACAATCCCCCTTATTTTCAAGGAGGTCCAGGCATGGTTCGATGTTGCTATAAAAGGGTTCCAGCAAATCCAAGGAGAGCCAGCATTTTCAGCTTGGGAGGGATCTTGAAACGATCGGATGAACCTCGGATGAACCTTAGGTCGGACCGTAGCTCGAGCAGCACCGAGTTCCGGTGCCTGTGTGCACCGGTCGGTGGCTCATTTTGAGCAGCATTCACATGCTTTTCTATACTAGGATCTTCAAAGTGACCTCTTTGAGAGTCTGTAAGTGACCTCTTTTGGGGGACTAAGTGACCTCATTCTGGAATCTCAAAAGGTTACTTTGAAGGTTCTGGTACTGAAGATGGTTTCTTTTTGTTGACCTCACTCTCCAGATGAAGTCGTGATTTTCTGATGATGTCGACAGGAAATCAGGCGCCAGGGGCTAAAACTCTAGTTCCTTCCTGTTCTGATTTTTCGATGGCAACACTGTGAAAGGAAATGCTGGTGATTTGGGATTCGACGTGGAGCGATCGTCTTTGGTGCGTATTCGAGCTGTCTGCTTTCCTGAAGAGTAAGCAGACGTCCGAACAAAGATTACTCATCAGGCCCACCTTTTTGGGACCTTGCTCAATGATCCTTTTCTTCGGGATCTTTTTTGCGATGCTGCCTCTCACCACGATGCCCTATGACTCAGGGCAGTGGGAATCGAAATCTCCGATCATCGGTGTTCTCTTCCTCTTCCTGCTCTGCGGCTATTTCATTTGTATCGCTTTCAGAGCCTATTTCCGCTCTGTGTTCACACTGAAGGAGAAGTTGCGCAACATCAGTTTCGACCACTGCAAGTGGCCTTGCCAAAATGCCGGTCATCCCGGGTGTGATATCATCTTCGTGTTCGAAGTGCTAGTTCCAAACATGCTAGAACTCGAGGATTTCCAACTAACCATTTAGGGGTTCGTGCATGTTAACATATAATATACCAAACAATCGAAGGATTTGGTCAACCATTGAATCGAACAGAAGGTTATAGGGGATCAGTCATGAGTGATTGAGCGAACGGGTGGGTGGTCGCCAGGAGTGTCCAGAGCGAACCTTCGTTTCGTTTCAGTACGACTTCGGTCGGTGTAGGGATAAAGACACCGAAGGAAGACCTTCAGCAGACACGACCTGTCAGGAACAGGTCGAGGGGCCCGGGGTGGTTGACGGGTCAACGGTCTTTCTGGGGCGGCATATATGTTCAGCATCCGTTCGTAGCGATGCCCTTTGTTACTATAGTAGCTTCTTGTTGCTAGTAATATGGCCAGGAGCCCCGTTCGGAGCGTCCGATCGCTCCGTTCGTGTCGCGATGCCAGGGGCCCCTTCCTTCGTAGCGTCCTCTTGTTACGTTCGTAGTTCAGTCGCACCGGTCGTCACTCTGGATGCTGTCCCTCAGGTGTGCATGCTGCGATTGCGGACACCAACTGGAGGGAGTCTCGCTCCTTTGCGACCGAGAGATCGTGAAGGAATGCGTGTCCATTTGGTTCGGGACTCCTGGTTTTTCGATCGTGATGGAAGGTGATGGACTCCCAGTCAATCCCCGGGATTCGATCAACTGTTTCGGTTTGAATCCCAAATGGTCCCAAAGAACCATATGTCACCATTTAATTATTGTTGTAAGGATGTTTACACTACGTGCACCAGGTCAACCATTCTTTTAATGGTCTTTGAAGGCTAGGGTACTAGGTATATGTTTGGATCTTCCCAGTGACCTTTTGATCCCCTGGTTTGAGGTCACTTAGGCTTGTAAAGGTCACTTAGGGACTCCAAAAAGGTCACTGGGAAGGTCTTGGTGTTCTTTTTAGTCCCGGTGCCTGGACAGCCAACGACCAAGGACTCCGGAGGCCTTTGAGGATTGCATCAGATTTGAGTTGTCTGAGGTGGTAGCTCGAGGATTACGAAATCATGTCTTCACAAGAGGCTGGTGCCTCTGTGTGACTAGTCCAATTCTTTGGGCTGTGATTGATGTAGCTGGCTCATGGACTCAAGCACTGGGTCTGGAGGCTTTTCACTTGCTGATTGATGGCTTGGTGATTTGGCTTCTTTGTGGTCCCATCATTGCGGATTTTTTGTACCTTCCTCACGTGTCACTACTGCCAAAGAGCAAGGTCAACCTGTGGAGAGGTCTTCATCAACCTCGGCATCGTATTTCTGGCAGCCCTTGGCTTCAGTGCAATCGTTGGAAGCTACTTCTTTTGCTACGATCTTTTATTTAAAGAGAGGTGGTATAATGCTGCAATCTTTGGATGTTCGTGGCTGTTGTTTGCAATATGTCATGTCCTGTACAAAGTTTCTCGCACGTCTCACAGATTCCGTTTTCCGCTTGGCCCTTGCTGCTGAGCTTTTCGCCGCGGTGTGGCTTCCAGCAAAAGCTGTGGATCTGGGGGGGTGTGGAGGCTTCCGCTTGAGAAAGCTGGGGGTGCTAGGACGTCGTGAGGACGAAGCTAGCACCTGCTTCTGCTCTTCCGCATCCTTGCAGCGGTGAACGCTTGTTGCAAGTGATGACCGGGGTCATACGAGACCAACTTCTGGTGACCCTGTGATGTGTGAGGGTAGACCGCGGTAGACCTGGCGGAATCCGGCGGAATCCGAGGATCCTGTGAAGGAACTGGGCTTTTTTGTTCTCAGATTCCACGCCATGTGTACTTAGCAGATCTTAGTAGTTTGCGGATGTTGTATATACGAGGGATCAAGTCAAGACAGGGGTGGTGAATGTACGATGTGGTGAGTCATCAAGGAATCATTATGTGCCCTAAGGGCGGGCGGATCAATGTGCCAATCATCCAACATGTTTCTGGATGAGGACTGCAAGCGTTGCCGTGCATTGAAGTAGAATGGCCACTTCTTTTGGTCTTCGGGGCGCCTGCCATCTAAGGGGCCTCCCTGACCCTGCGGGGTCTCCTTAACTAACAAAGGCTAACAAAGCCTTTGAGTCGCACTGGTGAGATGCTTCATGATGCCATTTTGCAAGGCCAGGTCCCCGATCACCGATCACCCTGACAAGCAAAGGAACAGAAGGGACGTATTTTTTGGGAACACACATTTTTTTAAAAGGACTTTTTTCGCGTCCCTTTTGGGATTTGTTTTCACCGTTGGTGGTTTGATAGCTTTCTGTTAGCTTTGGGCTTTTGGCGGCTGTTGGCTTTCTGTTAGCTTTGGCTTTTGGCAGCTTTTGGCTTTTGGTGGCGTTTGGCTTTTGGCGGCTTTTGGCTTTTGGTGGCTTGTGGCTTTTGGCGGCTTCTGTCTTTTGGCTTGTGGTGGCTTTTGGCTGTTGGTGGCTTTTGGCTTTTGGGTTGTGGTGGCTTTTGGGTTGTGGTGGCTTGACCATATTGCTCCTAGACCAGTTGTGGACTGGTTCAATGTGCGTTGTCTGTATATTTGCGGTAGAGGTAGCAAAAGAAGCAGCAGCACTCAGTAGCACTATATTTTATACAATATAACAATGTATAATGTATACTACTGTATAGACTACTGAAAATATTGGTACATCATATATAGTATCTATAACAAAAACATGTTTCCGTGGTTTCTGGGCTCATGGTCCCACCCACCCCTGTGGTACACCTCTGTGACTTCAACGCACGCGCCCCTCGAGGCGGCGCCCGCGTTTTGCCCTGCGCCGGTCGGGGAGGAAGGTGAGGGGCGGGTGGTGAAGAGACCTCAGGGGTTCTGATCCGAAGACAATGACCGTGAAAAAGAGTCCTGGCATTACTACGAGGAACAAGAAGCTACTAGGGTGGAGGCCATCGCTTTTTGGTTGGAGGCCATTACTACTAGTAACAAGAAGCTACTAGTAGCTCCCCCAAAAATATAAACTACTTAGGGTCAACTACTTAGAGTGCACCTGGAGGCTCTGGGAGTCAAAGGTCTAACAGTTGCCGGGATTGCTAATGCTAAAGTCATTGCGATTGTTGTTTTTGATTTCACTCCATTGTGATGTCTGGGTTGTTTGGGTGTAAGGTAGAATTTTGACTTCTAAAGAAAGACTGATTTCTGGATTGTAAAACCAGGCGACAATCCTCTTAAATTTGTGGTGTTTTATTCATCTACAGTCGCTCTACATTTGATGGATTTGGAAGCAGGTATGAAAAGACATAGCGTTTGCGAAGCGGATGAAAGGCTTAGAACCTCAACGCAATTCACACCAATCCAATAAATCACAATTGCCACTCATTCATTCATATATTCAGCTTTGAATTTGGCATGTCAGAATGCCGACAAGGAGAAACTGGGGCGAAGCTGAAAAAAACTGGTCGTTGAATGGCACTTGTCCACCGATCCCACTGATTCCTTTCAGAACTTACCAAGCCCTAGGCATATTGCATGAGCACCAGCACCACCTGCTAAACCTTCAAAACACACACGGTGAATGGCCCACACACGGTGAATGGCACACATGACCCCCCAACAAACAAAAAGCACACCACTGCTTCTGAGACAAACGCCTATATACCCTAGGGCTCCAACCACCTCCTGAGAAGGTGGTTAGGGTGAGTTTGGGAGGTGTAACCACCTTTTATATATACTGCATTTATGTTGATCGATCGTCACTCCCAATGTCCAAAAAGTAAACCAAGCGTTTCAACCGCGACTTGCGAAGCGACGCTTCAGGCGAAGCGTTTGTTGGGAAAGTTCTCCTGGACCTCCATGGCTTCAGCTCCCGGCAGCGACAGCAGCTGCTGCGGTTCTTGCAGCGCTTGGGCCTCTTTCAGGCCAAGTGTTGATGGAGGTTCACAAACCGCATGAAATCCCTATGCCACACCTGAACGTGTAAAAGACCCTCAACTGGATATGAAGAAACTGAAGGCAGCCTCCTAACGACCCAGAACGACCCAGACGGAGTAGTTTGGCTGGCACACATGTGTTGATCGCCATGGATCATCCATGGAACGATTTCCGAAGCCATGAACAGACTCCTTCCTTCATCTCCAAGGTTGTTTTTTCAAATGATTCACTCAACGAACAGTTGGTCATTTTTGGTTTAAGCCCCCCTCCTTCATAAGCCTCCGGCTGCGGGGAAGCCTCCGGCCTCACCGTGACTTTGGTCTCTCAAAACCCTCCACCCACCACCCCCACGCCACCACAACCACCATGAAGACGCCCGACGCACGGCTTCGCCAGCTTCGCTTCGCCACCAGCTTCGGTGACCGCACTTGAAGGTCCCAAGCAGTGATCCAACTGACCTGTTTGGTGGCCGAAGCATGTTTGGTGGCAGCATCTAACATCTCAGTCTGGGTCAACTGAAGAAGTCAGGTACTAGAGTTCAGTACCACCCAACGGCTCATTGGACCCTCAGTTCGGTAGGGTTTTGACCCTCACACCCAGGGTGAACTGGACCTCAAACATGTAGCAGTTTCAGTACCAGCGGATATGGCTGGGATTTGGGCACCGAAGCGACTGACCGGAACCGACCGGAACCGACTGAGCGTCGGTCGTGCGACTGTCTGGTGTGGGGGGCCTCCACCACGACCCATTCTCATCTCAGAGATCTACTGCATGCCGCATGCCAACAGAGGTGGATAGTGACCTGAACTGGTACCAACAGAGGTTGGGTACCCAACTGGGATAGTCTATAGGGTTCTTCAACCTCTGTTGGTGGTAGTGGCATTGGGGGGCCTCCACCACGACCCATTCCCATCTCAGAGATCTACTGCATGCCGCATGGTGGATAGTGACCTGAACTGGTACCAACAGAGGTTGGGTACCCAACTGGGATAGTCTATAGATGTCTATAGGGTTCTTCAACCTTTGTTGGTGGTAGTGGCATTGGGGGGCCTCCACCACGACCCATTCCCATCTCAGAGATCTACTGCATGCCGCATGCCAACAGAGGTGGATAGTCACCTGAACTGGTACCAACAGAGGTTGGGTACCCAGGCATTGGGGGGCCTCCACCACGACCCATTCCCATCTCAGAGATCTACTGCATGCCGCATGCCATCAGAGGTGGATAGTGACCTGAACTGGTACCAACAGAGGTTGGGTACCCAACTGGGATAGTCTATAGGGTTCTTCAACCTCTGTTGGTGGTAGTGGCATTTGAGCAGTGACCTGGTTCAGTTGACGCCCTGCAGGGCATCTTGGCCTTTCTGCTGTCGGCCACCGTAGATCTTCAGGGCCAACGCCTGGGGCGAGGCTGCCACACGCCGCCACACGCCGACGCCCGATGCGACAGATGGGATGAGCTATAATGAATTAGGATGGGCGCCCTTCAACCTCTCTAGGCATGCTTTGAAGCTAATAGTAACAAGTAGCTTCCTTGGGAATCGTTTCATTGGGACTCGTTTCATAGTATAACTCGATGCTTCGATTCGGAGGGCGGAGCAGATTCATTCATGCGTTCCGCTGTTCGTTTACCGTGATTCGAATCGCTTGGCATGCGGCGGGAGGGGTGTATGAAGACAGAGAACGAGAAGCTTAGGCTTTTCATAGATTTCTTTAAGCATATCTCTGGCAGATGTTGGCCTAGGATCAGCATGTCTCTGGCGTCACAGGTGCTTGTCTTGCCAGGCGGAGAGACGTCCTTCCACGGTTGCTTGAGAGAGATTGAGGACCGGCTCAGAGATGCCACAAACAACGCAGCCCAAAAATCTGCGAAACCAAAAGCACGTTGCAGAGTCTCAAAACTGGGGTACTACCCCAGACGCCTTAGCTGGGCCCGAATCCTCTGGAGGGGTCTGGGTTTTCTCACCAATGCCTATAGGGTTTTGAGGGACCGGGAAAGGGCTGTGAAGGAAACTTCTCTGGGTACATCCAGTTGATGGTGAACACAGGTGAAGACACCGAAGACCCTGCTCAATTCAACACATGTTCAGCTTCATCCACCACCTGAATAGTTCGTGACCTCCTTGGGAGTCTCTTTTCCTAGCCTTCTTGAGACTAAAAGTTGGCCTCATTCTGAGAATGTCATGGGATCTCGTGTCAGGTCACTTTGAAGGTTCTGGCAGACCAGGATTTCTTTCGGATTTCTTCACCCCCGGTTTCCTTCCGCGGTGAAGCCACCCAGCCCCCGGGTGAAGCCGCTTCCGTCTGCCCCGGCGCCTGCCACGCAGGACGCGGTGCGGTCCGCCGCGCCCCGCTGGGCCGCCGCCCGAACGTTGCACCGTGACCCCGCGGCACTGGAGCGAGCGGGTGGACGAGGACGAGGTTGATGGAGTGTGGTGTTTTCCATATAATAAACAATCCCCACCAACTCAAAGACTCAAATGACCGGCATCACGTGTGTTCCGTGTTTTTTTTTCCAAACATGATATAGCTTTCACAAATATGTCAAGCAAATCTGATCCTCGCAAACAAAAGGAAGTGAACAAACACATCAACCAAAAGCAGTCAGAAAACCACTAACATCCATCACCACTGACTGCTTGGAGTCATGGTTTGTCCTCCACCCGCGCTTTGACCGAGCCCGCATGACGTGGCGCGCCGAAGCGGCCCTGCGGATCGGAAGAACCGTCAGCCCGTCACCGAGGTGAGTTCCGCTGTGGCCGTGTGGGCGCGCGGGAGTCAATGAGCTGCAGGACGGCCACGGCTCCGCGGTCGGGAGAAAGGCGAAGGGATTCGGTGAGTGCAGCTGGTTTCAAGAGGGTCGTCGAGTCTGAAGAAGTGAAAAAGTGATGAACACGCGTGAAGACCGGTCGATGTGTGGTCCGAAGAACACAGCGGATGCCTGTGATTCTTTTTTGACGGTGACCATACTAGATACGAGTCTTTGAAGATCACCGGAATTAGCCCATCTATGCTGAACATGTGCTGAAACACACAACTTTGGGGGTTTCTGTGGGCAGCCGTGGCAATGATTGTCATCTCATGTGAGATTTTTGAGTTTGTCCTGGCGGGGTCGTAAAGGAATCCCGGTTTGCAATTCGAGGAGTCAGATCCAAAGATAGCCTTTTACCATTGGTTCATTTAGTAGGAATAGAAGGGATACCCCCGATCATGTGCTGGTATTTCTTCTACCTGGCGCCGGGGGGGTCCCTCGACTATTCCCCTACCAACGCATCATTGGTTAGATCATTCTCTGTTGATGAAGCTTCAGGAGTCAGTGACATTGTTTGCGAAGAGTCGCAATGCACTGAAGAGGAACGACTTCCGCCCCGGAGAGGAACGTTTGACTTCACCATGACTTCTGATGCTTTCACCCCTGGCCATGGCCCTTGACAGCTTAAACATGCTTGAACCCTGGTTTTGGAATTTGTTTTGACCATGTGATTGTGTGTGTGTGTTTTTTTTTCCGGGTATGTTCAATATTGACTTTGGCTTTTACAAATTTGTTGGAACATGTTAGTATGTGTTCAATGGCTTTGGCTTTGCTGGTCATTTGTGGAAAAGACAGCGTTCCAGGAGCACGACACCCTTCCGTGCCTCCTGCGTGCGCGATGGGCGGCACAGAGGCCACGTGGTGGCTGAAAAGACAAGCAGACAGACTCGTGCGACTCGTAGGGATTGAGGGAATGAACCACCCACTGTAGACCCCTCAGGATCCATTCCATATTCCCTACGAGTCGCACCAGTCAGCAGATGACACACCGACTCACATTCCGAAGTGGCATGGCATGGTCTGAACAGGCGGTTTCCTTCTCTCCACACGTCCAGACGTGTTCGTTGGAGTGGACGGCCTGCCAGTTTCAAGCAGCGGTGGGTGGAGTGAGTTCACCACCGGTTTGGTGTGCAGAATGTTTGGAGCCGTGCCATCCACGTTGGCCCAAGGACGCCAAGGAGTGTATACCACATTCTTCTGTTCCGGGAGAATCCAACAAATGACCCCAACGAAAACGATATAGTCAGCACCCAAAGGGTGTGTTTGTAGACCCGCCTGATTCCCCTGACCATGTGTTTTACATCCAAAAAGCACGCTTTGGGTGGTGCTGGTGGCGTAATTGACGAACTTTATGTTGGGTCAGAGTCATTGGTCATCTCCACATTGTTGTTTTAAGATGTTTCAATGTCCTTAAGGTATTAGGATCGTTCTAAAACCCACATCACTGAATTTAGTAGCACATCTTTTGTTTCACTGATAGTAGCCCTACAAGTCAGTTTGACCTCATGAAATACTGGACTTGGTCATACAAGTTCACACTATTAAGGTCAAGGTTTGCAGGACCAGAGTCTTTGACTGGGTCAGACTGACTGGGTCAGACTGGACGTCCGTAGGGTAGGTCGTCTATCCGTCGAACCCGCATGGAGCCGGACTTCGGAGTGGGTTCGCTTCGGGTGAAGCGAAGCCGACAGGTCACCGGTTCGAGGTTCGACCTCTTAGGAGCCGGCATGAGAGGAGACCTGTTGGAGAGTCATGGTAGACATATTAGATATCACTTCATAACATAAGATTAACATAGCACATACTGCAGAAATAATAATAGTAATAATAATAAGAATCATCATCATCATCATCATCATCATCATCATCATCATCATCATCATCA